TTGTTCAGGTGCCTCGTGCTTCAGTGTGACACCTGGACAAGTGAACTCACTCAGTATGGATTATTTAAGCCACTGCACCTCATGTCTGTTATGTACTTAAAAGAGCCCAATGTTAGCTGAAAAATTTTACAAATAAAGGAATTCACTACAATCATGCCTTTATTTTTAATCAACTTCTGACAGCTTACCATTATATTTTATTTTATTAACACATCGGCAATCTCCCACCAAGGCAAGGTGGCCCAAAAAAGAAAAACTTTCATCATCATTCACTCCATCACTGTCTTGCCAGAGGTGCGCTTACACTACAGTTATAAAACTGCAACATTAACACCCCTCCAAGCCCCTTGCACACAAAACCTCATTTACCCCCTCCCTCCAACCTTTCCTAGGCCGACCCCTACCCTGCCTTCCCTCCGCTACAGATTTATACACTCTCAAAATCATTCTATTTTGTTCCCTCCTCTCTACATGTCCAAACCACCTCAACAACCCCTCCTCAGCCCTCTCGATAATAATCCCTCACCTCCTCCCAATTTCCAAACTACGAATTCTCTGCATTATACTCACATCACGCATTGCCCTGACATGACATCTCCACTGCCTCCAGCCTTCTCCTTGTTGCAACATTCACCACCTATGCTTCACACCCATATAAGAGCATTGGTATAACTATACTCTCATACATTCCCCTCTGACTCCATCAAATACGATGAGATTAATACATGCTTTAGATGATGGAAAAATGCACTAAAACTTCTCATTAGCTGGCATTTATAAGTGCATTCCCCATTGCAGTGTATATAAAATTGAGTTAAATAAAATATTAAAATTATGCGATGAAAGTAATCGACAACATCAAATGGTTTAAAAATACAGTACCAGTAATCCATTAAGTGCTAACAATTTTTGGGGTTTATGGGCTTTTCCTGCCACATTCTCAATTAAAACTTGTATAGGAAAAAATAAAATTGAAATTAGAAAACTTTTATTAAAGCATTAACATGTCCATTGAACTGGTTACAACTGAAGCCATATGTCACATTAAGCAAAGCTAAACCAGTGTGAATATATTTAAGATAGTACAGAAGCAAAACTTTCCTTACACACACAACACAAGCCATTAAGAAGCACAAATTAAAAAAAAAAAAAGGATTAGGACAAAAAAAAAGGATTAGAAAAAAAAAAAACGATGAAAACTAGATTTGTAATTTAACAAAAAAATGATACCAATTCCCATGAAGTCATGAAAGTTGAACCAAAAGAAAAGTTTTAATACAAAATGTGTCACAACTATGCCAATGTGGAATATTGCTATGTAATAAAACAGAAACATTTAAAAAATAGCTATTTTTAATAAAAGAGTAAATACAGTAAATGCATATCAAATAGTTGTTTTTATAATAATGTATAGCAGTTTTCCCTCCAAGCATTAGATTATTCTAGCTGCATAACCCAAAAACCCATGCCAAGTTATGTCAAGAAAAATTAAATTAAAGATTTGTCCATGTTTAATATACTGTCCTTGTTTATTTCTTGCATACCTATGGCAATGTGACTCCTTTTGTTCTTTATGTTGTTCATCTGCACATTACAGCTGCACTAAAATATCAATACTGCACATACAAAATGAAACTGAAGGAAAGATGGTTCCATAGTATTTTGAGTCAGTAAAATTTTAAGAATAATTATAGTAATGTGAATTACTGTACCACCTTTAAACACTATGTAAAATTAGGAAAAAATCAAAACTGCTTTTCATAACCTGAGTTATCCAGTACATAATATAAATACCTTCATACTACTGTATTAAAAATGCTTGGCTGCATGCCACAGAAAGCAGTGATTTTCAAAATTTCTTAATGAGGTCAAAAAAAGGACCATATTTAAAACCTGTTATACATTACAAAGATATTACATGCAAAATAAAGTACAAAATTAATTGTAATAAATGATATGTGCATTATTAAAGCGCACAGATGTAATTTAGTATAGTTGTAAATATTACAGAAAACTTAAATTAGTCTTTTCATCTAGGCTGTTGGGAATACAGCATTCCGAAAATGACTGCAATGATTACAGTACTCTATCAACATTCTACACTGGTAAGTATATTTTAAATGTGGTTAACAACCTTTTGCCCTATATGTACACATGTATTTTGATAAATATGTACAGTAAATAAAATTATGTACTGTAGAGTATAAAGAGACAACAGGAAATAGTAGCAGTCTTATCAGTTACAGCATCCTTTGTACAAAACAGATAAGACCCCAAGCCATAGAGAAAAGGCACAAAATATATTCTAGATAGCATGCAATACTACATTATTAGTGATCATAAAGATTATCTAACTGACTTGAAATGCTGTTATAATGGGTGACATACTAGTTAAACACATGCATTGGTACAACAGACATAGTCCACTGCCCTCACCCAACCTTCTTGCTTCACACACTCCCCCCCCCCACATAATTCATTATTTTCTCTAGGTTATTAATTTATCAAATGTATTAATCTTTTATATGTGGTAGTCCAGCATAGGTATGGTACGATGGGTTCCTATTTACACCTACCATCCGACTTACGACCGAGTTCAGTTTTGAGAAACCGGTCGTAAGTCAAAATGGTCGTAAGTCGAACTTTACTACTGAATATCAACAAAACATTTTTGTAATGACTTTATTTTATTGTTTTATTTTGGTATTTCATGTTTTACTTTACTTTTTATGCTGTAAGTGCTGTATTTTATACTGTAAGGTTTAGGATAAACACTGTGTACAACACAAATAGCTGTTTATTTCCCAGAAATTTGGCAGAAAAAACACGGTCGTAAGTCGAGTGGTCGTAAGTTGAGCAGGTCGTAAGTCGGATGGTAGGTGTATTTGGTACAATTTGGCCAAGAATTGTGGATTTTTAATTTATGAATATTGAAGTGAAGTGATGTAATGGAGCATTGCATCAGGCCTACTGGTCCATGCTAGACAGGTCTAACTTTACCAACCACACTCAATCATGCACCTACTTTGTATTTTTTGATTAACACATCGGCAGTCTCCCACCAAGGCAGGGTAGCCCGAAAAAGAAAATCTTTCACCATCATTCACTCCATCACTGTCTTGCCAGAGGCTCACTTACACTAGTTATAAAACTGCAACATTAACACCCCTCCTTCAGAGTGCATTATTATTATTATAATCAAGGGGGAAGCGCTAAACCCGGAGGATTATACAGCGCCTGGGGGGGGGATGTGGAAGGCATTCAGGCTTAATTCGGGGAACTGGAGCACAGATCCAATTCCCTAAATCAAGAGCCCCTCACCAACATCAAGGAACCTTCCTTGAGGGGCCCCTTCAGAGTGCAGACACTGTACTTCCCATCTCCAGGACTCAAGTCCAGCCTGCCGGTTTCCCTGAATCCCTTCATAAATGTTACCTTGCTCACACTCCAACAGCATGTCAAGTCCTAAAAACCATTTGTCTCCATTCGCTCCTATTCAACACGCTCACGCATGCTTGCTGGAAGACCAAGCCCCTCACACACAAAACCTCCTTTACCCTCTCCCTCCAACCTTTCCTAGGCCAACCCATACCCCACCTTCCCTCCACTACAGATTTATACACTCTTGAAGTCATTCTATTTCCTTCCATCCTCCTGTTCAACCTATTTTTAAAATTATCCAACATACTCACTTCATAAATGCTAGTCTGGTTTTATTCTACTCAAATCAAAAACTATTGCCACACCAGCATTTTCTATAACCTTTCTAAATTTAAATTTGTATAACTTGAATCCACTCATACAAGTCTTGTCTTGGATACATACTTTCAACATGTTATTTGATTATATGTTACGTTAATGGTTCTGGGATTACAGTCTCTTCTTCCCTGGCCCAGTCTCAGGCCAGGCCTCTAATACAAGAGAATATTACCAGGTTAAGAACTACAGTATTGCAAAACACAGGAAAATATAGCTGAGCTTATGTTGAATGTAAGAAGAAATATGTAAGATTTACCTATCCTCTTTCATTTCCATGAGACAGAATGAAAACACCAGCAATCCTGCCATAGTACAAAACATTTTACAGGCTTCCATTTTAAATCTGTATGAAAGGAAGATACTACTTTCCTAGGTGGTTACTGTTTACCAGCAACTACCTAACACCATGCAATCTGTTAATCACTACCACAGTCCAGCATTTATTATATTGAAAGGGAAGTGCTAAACCCTTAGGAGTCATATAGCTCCTACAGAATAGGACTCGCATAAGTTTGATCCAATGAAGTGAAGGATAAGTCCAGCTCCTTGGATCAAGAGCCCCTCACTGGCATCAAGGCACCTCCTTGGAGGAGGATAGCCTAACAAACTGTTCTCGTTGCACACTGCATCATACATCTATCTTAGCACGAACTAATTAAAGATGCCTTATGTCATGTACACAAAGTACACAACTTTCCTATTATAGCTTTTCTGACCAGCTATAGATGTTGCTTTGCCTCAATGAATAAAATGCACAGGTGAAATTTTACAATGTATGGCTAATGAAATACAAATACGTACAGTGGAACCTCAGTACTCGAACAAAGCTCAGCACTTTACCAAACAAACACGGCCTGCCAGAACTTCGCTGTAAACTATTTTGTGTTTCTTTGTATTTTTTTGTGTTTTTTTACATTATTTGTATAAATAAGTCACTATGGGGCCTATGAAGATTAATAATAACAGCCAACAAAAAAGAAAATTTGTTGGGAAGAATTTGTTTGATACTCGAACGGATCGGCACTCGAACAGCCTTCTGGAATGAATTAAGTTCGAGGACCAAGGTTCCACTGTAAAGCCTGATTAACAAGAACCACAAAAACATGTTCCAAAAAAAGCATAAAAGCATAAAAATAATTTTACATTAGTGCTGTGCGAGAAGAAATTCTAAGCAAATAAAAAAAAAAAGAAAAAAAGCTGACTCTTAAAAGCATTGGTTAACATCAATCATGCTCACTTACAGCATCATTGATTTCAGGATCATTAATTGTGCCTCCAAAGTTGACGTAGTCTCGAAGGGTTGAAATTCCAGGAGCCTTCAGTCCAAGGATAAAAAGTAAGCAACTACATATGTAGCGTACCACAAACAGTGCACACTCCAGCTTATCTGTTACCCTGCAGAAAAAGAAGTGAACTGATTACATTTGTATAGATATATAATTTTCTCATGAAAAATGACAAACATTAACAGATAAATAGATATACTTTATTCAATAAACAAAACTAAAAAACCATCCGGGAAAACACTTCAAAATCACTATTTTAAATCATACAAAAGGTCACAGGTCTGCTTCCACCATTATGCACTGTGTGGAGCAAGGATTTTTTTTATGTGCACACTCACTGCACAGACTCACTCTCTCATGTCTAGGCCAAAATTTACCACTCACAATTCATGTGAGACAGCCAAGCTCATGACACAGAATGTACGTGTAGTTCTATGTGACAGCCACCAAAAAATTTTAATGTTTCTATCCAACTAAGTATGGGTGCTCCTTGACTTACGATGGGGTTACATTCCAACGAACCTATCATAAGTTAAAAATATAGTAAATCAAAAATGAAAATAAGAAAAAATTTTGGAGTGAGTTAAACAAGTTAAGAAAGCCTAGGGAAAGTATGGATTTGTCAGTTAAAAACAGAGTAGGGGAGTTAGTAGATGGGGAGAGGGAGGTATTAGGTAGATGGCGAGAATATTTTGAGGAACTTTTAAATGTTGAGGAAGAAAGGGAGGCGGTAATTTCATGCATTGGCCAGGGAAGTATACCATCTTTTAGGAGTGAAGAAGAGCAGAATGTAAGTGTGGTGGAGGTACGTGAGGCATTACGTAGAATGAAAGGGGGTAAAGCAGCTGGAACTGATGAGATCATGACAGAAATGTTAAAAGCAGGGGGGGATATAGTGTTGGAGTGGTTGGTACTTTTGTTTAATAAATGTATGAAAGAGGGGAAGGTACCTAGGGATTGGCAGAGAGCATGTATAATCCCTTTATATAAAGGGAAAGGGGACAAAAGAGATTGTAAAAATTATTGAGGAATAAGTTTACTGAGTATACCAGGAAAAGTATACGGTAGGGTTATAATTGAAAGAATTAGAGGTAAGACAGAATGTAGGATTGCGGATGAGCAGGGAGGCTTCAGAGTGGGTAGGGATGTGTAGATCAAGTGTTTACATTGAAGCATATATGTGAACAGTATTTAGATAAAGGTAGGGAAGTTTTTATTGCATTTATGGATTTAGAAAAGGCATATGATAGTGGATAGAGGAGCAATGTGGCAGATGTTGCAAGTATATGGAATAGGTGGTAAGTTACTAAATGCTGTTAAGAGTTTTTATGAGGATAGTGAGGCTCAGGTTAGGGTGTGTAGAAGAGAGGGAGAATACTTCCCGGTAAAAGTAGGTCTTAGACAGGGATGTGTAATGTCACCATGGTTGTTTAATATATTTATAGATGGGGTTGTAAAAGAAGTAAATGCTAGGGTGTTCAGGAGAGGGGTGGGATTAAATTATGGGGAATCAAATTCAAAATGGGAATTGACACAGTTACTTTTTGCTGATGATACTGTGCTTATGGGAGATTCTAAAGAAAAATTGCAAAGGTTAGTGGATGAGTTTGGGAATGTGTGTAAAGGTAGAAAGTTGAAAGTGAACATAGAAAAGAGTAAGGTGATGAGGGTATCAAATGATTTAGATAAAGAAAAATTGGATATCAAATTGGGGAGGAGGAGTATGGAAGAAGTGAATGTTTTCAGATACTTGGGAGTTGACGTGTCGGCGGATGGATTTATGAAGGATAAGGTTAATCATAGAATTGATGAGGGAAAAAAGGTGAGTGGTGCGTTGAGGTATATGTGGAGTCAAAAAACGCTATCTATGGAGGCAAAGAAGGGAATGTATGAAAGTATAGTGGTACGAACACTCTTATATGGATGTGAAGCTTGGGTGGTAAATGCAGCAGCGAGGAGACGGTTGGAGGCAGTGGAGATGTCCTGTCTAAGGGCAATGTGTGGTGTAAATATTATGCAGAAAATTCGGAGTGTGGAAATTAGGAGAAGGTGTGGAGTTAATAAAAGCATTAGTCAGAGGGCAGAAGAGGGGTTGTTGAAGTGGTTTGGTCATTTAGAGAGAATGGATCAAAGTAGAATGACATGGAAAGCATATAAATCTATAGGGGAAGGAAGGCGGGGTAGGGGTCGTCCTCGAAAGGTTGGAGAGAGGGGGTAAAGGAGGTTTTGTGGGCAAGGGGCTTGGACTTCCAGCAAGCGTGTGTTAGCATGTTAGATAGGAGTGAATGGAGACAAATGATACTTGGGACCTGACGATCTGTTGGAGTGTGAGCAGGGTAATATTTAGTGAAGGGATTCAGGGAAACCGGTTATTTTCATATAGTCGGACTTGAGTCCTGGAAATGGGAAGTACAATGCCTGCACTTTAAAGGAGAGGTTTGGGAAAATAAGAAAAAGTTTTGGAGTGAGATTAACAAGTTAAGAAAGCCTAGAGAACAAATGGATTTGTCAGTTAAAAATAGGAGAGGAGAGTTATTAAATGGAGAGTTAGAGGTATTGGGAAGATGGAAGGAATATTTTGAGGAATTGTTAAATGTTGATGAAGATAGGGAAGCTGTGATTTCGTGTATAGGGCAAGGAGGAATAAACATCTTGTAGGAGTGAGGAAGAGCCAGTTGTGAGTGTGGGGGAAGTTCGTGAGGCAGAGGTAAAAATGAAAGGGGGTAAGGCAGCCGGGATTGATGGGATAAAGATAGAAATGTTAAAAGCAGGTGGGGATATAGTTTTGGAGTGGTTGGTGCAATTATTTAATAAATTGTATGGAAGAGGGTAAGGTACCTAGGGATTGGCAGAGAGCATGCATAGTTCCTTTGTATAAAGGCAAAGGGGATAAAAGAGAGTGCAAAAATTATAGGGGGATAAGTCTGTTGATGTACCTGGTAAAGTGTATGGTAGAGTTATAATTGAAAGAATTAAGAGTAAGACGGAGAATAGGATAGCAGATGAACAAGGAGGCTTTAGGAAAGGTAGGGGTGTGTGGACCAGGTGTTTACAGTGAAACATATAAGTGAACAGTATTTAGATAAGCTAAAAGAGGTCTTTGTGGCATTTATGGATTTGGAAAAGGCGTATGACAGGGTGGATAGGGGGGCAATGTGGCAGATGTTTGCAAGTGTATGGTGTAGGAGGTAGGTTACTGAAAGCAGTGAAGAGTTTTTACGAGGATAGTGAGGCTCAAGTTAGAGTATGTAGGAAAGAGGGAAATTTTTTCCCAGTAAAAGTAGCCTTAGACAAGGATGTGTGATGTCACCGTGGTTGTTTAATATATTTATAGATGGGGTTGTAAGAGAAGTAAATGCGAGGGTCTTGGCAAGAGGCGTGGAGTTAAAAGATAAAGAATCACACACAAGTGGGAGTTGTCACAGCTACTCTTTGCTGATGACACTGTGCTCTTGGGAGATTCTGAAGAGAAGTTGCAGAGATTGGTGGATGAATTTGGTAGGGTGTGCAAAAGAAGAAAATTAAAGGTGAATACAGGAAAGAGTAAGGTTATGAGGATAACAAAAAGATTAGGTGATGAAAGATTGAATATCAGATTGGAGGGAGAGAGTATGGAGGAGGTGAACGTATTCAGAATATTGGGAGTGGACGTGTCAGCGGATGGGTCTATGAAAGATGAGGTGAATCATAGAATTGATGAGGGAAAAAGAGGTGAGTGGTGCACTTAGGAGTCTGTGGAGACAAAGAAACTTTGTCCTTGGAGGCAAAGAGGGGAATGTATGAGAGTATAGTTTTACCAACGCTCTTATATGGGTGTGAAGCGTGGGTGATGAATGTTGCAGCGAGGAGAAGGCTGGAGGCAGTGGAGATGTCATGTCTGAGGGCAATGTGTGGTGTGAATATAATGCAGAGAATTCGTAGTTTGGAAGTTAGGAGGAGGTGCGGGATTACCAAAACTGTTGTCCAGAGGGCTGAGGAAGGGTTGTTGAGGTGGTTCGGACATGTAGAGAGAATGGAGCGAAACAGATGACTTCAAGAGTGTATCAGTCTGTAGTGGAAGGAAGGCGGGGGGTAGGGGTCGGCCTAGGAAGGGTTGGAGGGAGGGGGTAAAGGAGGTTTTGTGTGCGAGGGGCTTGGACTTCCAGCAGGCATGCGTGAGCGTGTTTGATAGGAGTGAATGGAGACAAATGGTTTTTAATACTTGACGTGCTGTTGGAGTGTGAGCAAAGTAACATTTATGAAGGGATTCAGGGAAACCGGCAGGCCGGACTTGAGTCCTGGAGATGGGAAGTACAGTGCCTGCACTCTGAAGGAGGGGTGTTAATGTTGCAGTTTAAAAACTGTAGTGTAAAGCACCCTTCTGGCAAGACAGTGATGGAGTGAATGATGGTGAAAGTTTTTCTTTTTCGGGCCACCCTGCCTTGGTGGGAATCGGCCGGTGTGATAATAAAATAATAATAAATGTTGTGTATCTTTATACGTATATGCTTCTAAACTGTTGTATTCTGAGCACCTCTGCAAAAACAGTGATAATGTGTGAGTGTGGTGAAAGTGTTGAATGATAATGAAAGCATTTTCTTTTTGGGGATTTTCTTTCTTTTTTGGGTCACCCTGCCTCGGTGGGAGACGGCCGACTTGTTGAAAAAAAAAAATGAATACAATATGGTAAATACGTAAATAAATAACTACTGTCACTGAATAAGTAAATGAGCAAATAATTACTGTAACTAAATACCAGTATTGAAAAGTAAATAAATGAACACAAATTTATCCTATCAATAAATGTATAGTACTGTACAGCACAAAATAAAAAGTTTTATAGTACACTGACTTGTGTACTCAAGGATGATACAGGTACAGTATATGTAGTGGTATGTTATACAGATGACTACTGAATGTGCATCACTATCACACTATTGTAAAGTCAAAATATCATAAATTCAGCCATCATAAAGCAAGGAGCATCTGTACAGTACAGAAAAAAAATGTATTCAAAATAAAAATAAAAGTATGGTACTCACGTTGTGAGGTCAAACCACCAATCCTCATTTCTTAGATTGAGAAATGCAAGATTTTCACTGACAAACACTAATGTCCAAAACACAAGCAACACAACTCCATGCCCTCTGGTAGGTGTTGTTGGCAGAAGATAGTTTCGCTCCAAGAACACAATACGAAGTGATAGGGGCCAGCACACCAGGTTGCAGCCAAGGTACAGAATCATATATCCATAAATAACATGGTTACCTGAGAAAAAAGATTTAAGTTGCATTACTAGTCATATTTATCAGACATCATTTATCATTTTAAAGCTATTTTGATAAAATTGTCATTCCAATAAAGTCATGTTAATTTAAAATCACTGATCTTAATAGTACATAAACATGCCAAAATAAATAATATAACAGTAAAATGTCATACATAAATTACCTGGAAAACCAAAACTCTACAGGTCTAGTATTCTGAAAATACTGTAGACATGAAATAAAAAAATATAACTTACAGTACAGTACATTTATGGAATCCTCCTCACTAGAGAATAATAAAACTTCATTATTCTCTGACATGAAGGAAGATCCCAAAGTTTGACTGGGATAAATATGCCATACGCTACTGTACAAGTATGTATACTACTTGATTTTACATCCAGTGTATTTTTGTAATACAGTGGAATCTCAGTTTTCATGATTAATCCATTCTAAAAAGTCTGACGAAAACCGAATCGTACGAAAACTGAAGGAATGTTTCCCATAAGAAATAATGTAAATCCAATTAATCCGTTCCAGACACCCAAAATTAACAAAAAATAAATTTTTTTAAAGATTAACTATAGTTTTACATAAAGAAAACAATGAGAAATAAATATAAATGACTAATGAAATGTATAAATGAACATTTAACATCACTTTTACTGTTGCGTATGGAGAGCTTAACTTTAGGCCACTGATTCTTTTTGGGGAATCAGTCTGAATACTGACTTTGTCTAGGGGTAAAATTTCATACACAACAAGGGTACTGAGCACCAATGTAGCAGAGCTTACTCAATGAAAATTTCATTTGTTAACCTTCTTACTTGTGAGGATGACTCAAATTCCATAACAAAATTCTTATTTTTAATAATATTAAACTCAGAATAAATACTCATAAATTTATGAACTCTGATCTTAATTAAGACCATTACCAGGAAAGCATAGCTCCCAATGGTAAAGTTAGACAATCGTTAAGGCGTATTAAATAACCAATACCTTACTGACAACTCATAACAATCAAGAGAGACTTCTTGGATTATTCCAAATCATAAACCAAACAGTTATCTGCTAAGAGATGCATGTATTCTATATTATCCCATGCAAGAGACTAAGTAATATTCTAGAGCACCTGGAGGAATTGTGTTAGTGGCTGAGGGCCTGAACCTACTTAGCAGAGAGTGTACGAACCTACTCCCTGACAGAGGGACCATGTACCCCCACATGAGGTCGGTCAGGAGAAGTGAGCCGGCAGCTAAATTAGCGTCCGGTCATTTACCTGGTGCATCAAGACAATTGCACCATTATGGGCAAACCCAGATTCCAATACAGTGGACCCTCACCTAACGATATTAATTGATACCAGAGAACGAATATCATTAGGCGAGTTTTTTAGCATTAGCCGAGGCAAAATGTTAGCATTAAAATGTATCGTTAGGCGAATTTAACGTTATGCGATGCGTTCGTTAGGCGAGGAGGCACTAAACCGACAAACATGTATATATTAAAATTAAAGAGCAATATCCTAGTAGTATCATAATACATGAGGTCAGATAATAATATAGTCAGAAATCTTTACTGTAACTACTAGTGAAGAAGTCCGCTATATAATATTAAGTGAAACCTCGTAACTGGAATATACTCAAATAAAAAAATGTCGGGCATAACCCATAAAATTTAACTTTATTGAAGACTTTCGTTGGTATATGGAAGACGTCAAGGAGGGGAGAGGGAGGAGGAGAGGTTATTGTTTGGAAGGGGAATCCCTTTCCATAAGGACTTCAGGTATCAAGGCCCTATACCTGGAGAGAGTTCTGAGGGTCAACGCCCCCACTGCCCAGTCTGTGACCAGGCCTCATGGTGGATCAGGGCCTGAGCAACCAGGCTGTTATTGCTGGCCACATGCAATCCAACATATAAACCACAGCCCGGCTGGTCAGGTACTGACTTTAGGTGCCTGTCCAGTGCCTGCTTGAAGACAGCCAGAGGTCTATTGGTAATTCCCCTTATGTATGTTGGGAGGCAGTTGAACAGTCTTGGTCCCCTGATACCTATCTGGGGTTACTTCCCTTCTTTGTCTTTTACTGGCACTAGCACCAGCTTGAGAGTCACTGTACCCTTGTCACACAAAAAATCTGTCCAGAGAGGTCTGTTTCTGGTGTCTCTCTAAGATTTGCCTAAAATGGGACAAGGCATTGTCAATGAACATCTTGCAGACACAGCTTGCAACAGCTTTGTTAGGGTGATATTTGACAAAACTTTGCAACTCACTCCACTTTGCACACATGTCCTTAATCACTGAAGAAGGTACCATTTTCAACTCTAAGAAAAACGAGGGAATGTACGAAAACTGGGACAAATTTTCGACGAAAAAAGTCGTCAGAAACCAAATCCTATGAAAACCAAGGTTCCACTGTATAAGTTTTCTGGATTATACATTAATATAGTACCCTAAAATGTCTTGTACCTGGTAAAATATATCTAACAAAACTAATAATAAGACGTATTATAATACAGCCTCTCCTCACTTAGCGACGTATACTCGTTTACCGACACCTCAGACTTACGATGGGCTCTCTGACCAGTATTTATACCTAAATAATGTATACTAGAGCTGATTTCCTCTATTGTTTATTTAAATATACAGTACACTACTGTATATTGAAATAAACAGACTAGAGGTGCAAAGGTGACATTAAAACAATGTCAAAGATGGTTGACACAAATCCACTACCATTATAGTATACTCCTCACTTAGCGACAAATTAGTTTACTGATGTGGTCTTAGGAACGGAGCTCCGTCGTTAAGTGAGGAGAGGCTGTACAGTGGAACCCTGGTTTTCGTTTTTAATCCGCTCCAGAAGGCCAGCCGAAAACCAATTTGTATGAAAACTGAAGTAATATTTCCCTTAAGAAATAATGTAAATCCAATTAATCCATTCCAGCTCTTTCCTGTGGTCGTCCACCAACTCTTCCACATCCTGGCCACTCACATCCAACCCCATGGACTTCCCCAAAGCCACAAATAGATTCCACAACAGGCATAGGGTTGTCAAGTTTACACTAACTTATATTAAGTTAGTAAAAGAACTAGGTATTAAAAAACACAATAAAAAGTAAAATACATACACAGTCAGGTGTAGGTAGCCGGTAGATGTAGGTATGTAGTCTGCCTGGGCTACATACCTACACCTACCTACATAGCTGCATGATATTTAATGCAGCCCAGAGCTATACTATTACCATCGATATACCATGTTCACTGAGTTTAATTGTTACTAACAACTACCTTTAGATGCCATCATAAACAAAGGCAGAAGTAATGAATAATTCATGCTGAGAGTTGTAAACAAAAGTGTTATGTAGTAAGGGGGTGACTGGGCCAATGCAGATTCATACATGTTTTCTCTGGTGCTGGACCAGAGAAAACGTAATGTTTTCCCTCCGCCCGACTACCACCCCTCCATAGCATATAAACACTGCATGTTTATATTATATGTAACATGTTTCTTATATAATTTTGAAGAAAATATCATAGATGGATTAATGAAAATGTCTATATTAACGTAAAATAAGACATTTAATGTGCCCAAGAGTGATTATTATTACTATGGCATTAAGACTAGAGGGACACTCGTAGTGAACGAGTAACAAAGGCAGACTGAGTCACGAACATATGGGCAGCCGTGTCCTGCGGGCAGGCGGATGTGTCTGGTATGGATGATTTCCAAGTGGATGTACGAAAACGGGGAAAATTTTGCCGGAAAAAGTGGTCGAAAACTGAATTGTACAATAACCGAACCAGACGAAAACCAGGGTTCCATTATGTATGATGAGCAACTGTGGACAATGCCTAAACTTCTATTAAACCTATTAGAAAAATAATTACAATAGTGAACTTCAGTCTTCAAAATGTTTTTATTTTTTTGTGACAAAACTACACAGCACCAATTAAGATTAAAATTCCAGCTATAAAACAGCTATAAAAATGTTGTGCATTCTCCTACTGTAATACATGTAAACATGAACAATATCTAAATAAAACTTTAATCATTATGAGTGAACACTTACTTTTTTTTATCAAGTGAATATTATTCAATCAAGTGAGTATTATTCAATCAATTTAGGGGGATAATTCCTGCTGTTCCAAAGCTTAAAAGAAAAAATATACGAATAGTCTTGCACTAAAGTGCAAGAAAAATTTTAACAGAACTTCATATTTCCTCACCAATGACTGTTGCTTGCAGTGCTAATCTTGCACATGCAATAATCATCATCAAGATTGTAAGTGCCACCTGGATACCAAAGAGTACAGATTTTTGCCTTAAATACTGGTCAGTCACAGTGGCATACTTGTGGTACATAATCCATTGTCCTGATCCAAATAAAACTAGGAATAATGCATAAACTGCTGCAGTGATGGTATCCAAAAAGCAGTGGGATATCCCATGGTTGACCCAGATGTCAATGAATGTGACATTAGGTGGGCAGTACATCATCTTTGATTCATTTAATAACTGCACCTGGAAAGAACAAATCATTATACAGTATAATTATATATTTTGTATTAAATAACTTAGTTCTAGAGGTGAGCTAGATATTGTACACATACAGTATATATTATACCATATATGTATACTGTATAAACTGACACTTAAATGAATATCTGATACTATCAAGATTCTAGCTTAATATTAAAGGTTTCAAACCTCAGTAAAAGTTAAAATGTTTTCAGTTACATAAAATGCAATTTAACCTTAAACTGTCCAAATGTAGATCTACGTTCATGTGCAGAGTGCCCCGAATGTAAATCTACGTTTTTTTTACATTTGAAAGCATTAAAAAAACGTAGATCTACGTTCGGAGCACTATGCACATAAATGTAGATCTACGTTTGGACAGTTTGAGAGTTAAATAGTCAAGCCCATAATTCACCTAGTATCTAATGTCATTAAAACAAAAAATATTATAAAAGAAAAGATCTACTTTTAAATGTACACATAAGCCTGTGATCTGATTCAGTTCCCTGATGAACACAAAGATATTTATTATAATTCTGTGTTATAGTACTTGATACAAATACGTACCATACTTATTACTATATTACTACAAAATTAAAATAATGAGCCCACAGGAGCCAAAAAGCTTAAGCCCACTCCCATAGCTTGGCAGGATATATTTTCAATGGACTAGATACAACCAATTACTTTTCTTGTAATGTTACACTTATGCTATGTTCTTAACTGATGAGGGGCCCCATTAATGCCATGTGTGCATGCCTGTCTTAATGGATGATGCAAGCACTTAGGGACCTGTGGAATTTTCATGCATACATGTACTTGTGTTCTAGAATTTATGTGGTGAAGTTGAGTAACATTTCAATTACTGTTTGTAGTATTTATCACATGCTGCATATATAAGACACTGTAGAGCCCCAGCCTTAATATCAGTGTGGTTAGGTTATGACTGATGAGGCTAGTAAGATCACAAATGACTTTGTGACATTGGTGGCCAAGCCTTCTGTATGTAAAATGATATGCCTATCAGTTTCTACATTTTTCCTCTTCCTCTTTCCCTCCCTCCTCCATCTCTTCCACTCACCACAGCTGAAACAATGCAAGCATAAGCACTGGTCAACAAATGGATTAAGACAGACACAGTACACATTAATGAGTTAATGTATCAGTGCCCACAGATTTCTCCTCTTATTCAAAGATATGCAGTACTGTATTCTGTTTTGCTACATTATACAATATAGGTTTACACCATATGATCCTTGTGGATTTAGCACCACTCCACAATTATTACCATGCATAACAGAAGAGAAGGTGGCTACACCACTAGTGTAGTATGCATCAGCAGATGTAATTGTGCAGGGAAGTTTTGGGCACATATATGCATATTTTTGAGAGAAAGCCCACTGTTTTGTAAATTTTATTTGCAATGTTCTGGACGTATGTGTTGAATTTTAGCTGGGTGTCTAGATGAAATCCCAAGAATTTACCCTCATCCTGCCTATTAACTGGTGTATTATCTTTATGTTAAAAAGAAAATTCTTTGCTTCATATCCAAACATTACACAGAAAACCTTGTCAGTACTGTTTGTTAGTTGTGACCTAAGTAGATATTTTTAAGAGTTCAAATTCAAATTTATTTATTTCTTTGCAAATAGTACACTGAGACTATGTATTTACAATAATGGGTTGCAATGCAAAGAGAGCCTCTATTATGCCTAGGCATTATGGGCTGACTTAATTTATTGGCTTACTGACTACTTAACACTAAAGAAATTTATCATAGTTGTACAGTAGTTCTATTAATTATAAGTGAATCTAATTTATATAAACCAAAGGACATATTCATATCAGTGGCATTGCTAGGGTTGGTGTTACCCGGGGCAGAATCTTTGGTGTCACCCCCCATGAAATCCAAGGGCGGGGGGATAGGGGTAGTAAACTCCAGTTACATCACTGCTGCATGACCAGTGACTAATGTTTAGCAATGAGAATGTTTAAAGGCTATAAACCGAACTGTATTAATGATAAAATAAATAATCGTAGTAATATTGAAGAAACACAAACTCAAATACCACTTTGAGTACAGGCAACAGATCCTACATTTATTCATCTTCAACAATGAAAAAAAAAAAAAACTTGAAAAATAAAGAAAAACACTAGTTCTGATTTAACCTTGAGTACAGGTAACATCTCAAAGAATCTGATATTTCATTTCCTTGCCTTCAATCCTGCAAAATCATTTATCACATCATCAAAATCAATGATTTTCCCTATATAGGCCTATTTGTGTTCCGTAATCCTATAATAGGCTATACAGAAACGAAGGATTTTTCTCTTAGGTTGCTGCAGCATGGTTTTGGTCATTAGTGTTACCTTCTTTAGAGGCTCTATGGTGTCACCCCCTAAATGTTGTCACCCAGGGTGCCCCCCCACCTCCCCTCCCCCTTACGATGCCCGATTCATATTTTCAAAAATGATTTTCGTGAAACATGATTCAATTATATTACTGTCGATAATGGACAATAGGTTCAAAAGTAAATATTGAAATTATATTATGGGAATATTGAGTAGTGAGCATTTAGTATAGGGTGATTAAGTGGCTTTTGAGAAGAGTCTTAAATTGATTTTCAGACTGGGTTACTTTAGTATTTTCTGGTAATGAATTCCAAATTTTGGGGCCCTTTATGTGCATAGAGTTTTTACACAGTGTGATATGGACACAGGGTACATCAAAAAGAGATCTGTGTCTTCTGTTATGGTCATGTGTCCTGTTAAGGCTGGTGAGAAGTTTGAGTTCTAAAATGTAAACTAATGCTCCAGTTTCAGCAGTATCAGTCAGGAACTATAGCCAGTAAATTATGCTGAATTTAATCTAGGATAACTCAAAAGAGTTTAACAGTTGTACTTGCTTCTGTTGTAAGTATATATACCATATATATTATTATGTATATAATTAAGTAGTTATGGTTGAAAGTAAAGGGCGGTTCTCAATGTTAGTCACACATTTCATGTTTTACAAGCTGTACAAGCTATCTACACCATGGAATAAAGTAATTTATTACACACATTGTTATTTTGGGATACAATACCGAAAAAAATACTGTTTTGCCGACAGCAACATGTCAGAGCCAATCACTGTTTAGTATTGTGTCTTGGCTAATCACAACAAAGACACAGCAGACATAAATAAAGACATTGGGCTGAGTAATGTCAATTTACTTAAGATTATTTTAGGTTTGTTAGGTTTGGTTGTTATCATTTGCACCATATAATACTATCTCTACTGTAAAACCCACTCATTATTGTAGAAGTTAAACTATGTTTTACTGATGAAATCTGTCAAGGAATATAATAATAATAAAAATACATCATATATAATCATATCATAATCATATATCATAATCATATCATATATATCATATTATATATATCATAATCATATCAAATATATCATAATCATATCATATATATCATATTATATATATCATAATCATATCAAATATATCATAATCATATCATATATATCATAATTCAAATTCAAATTCAAAGTTTATTCTCTATAAAGATTACAATGTTGAATTTACAGAATTTGGTTGTTGTGTGGTTTACATGTAGTTAAATAATGATTACAGAGTGTACCACTAGAACACCTAGCATGGCTAGGCATTTCGGGCAGACTTAGTTTAATTCTTTATTTTAAAATATTACAAATTATGAGGTAAGTTGGTATTATGGCTAAGTGACTAAATACTAGTTTGTGAGTTTAGCAATGTGAATGCTTTTGTTTTGGCACAGTACATAGTTTCAGTATTGAAGTATCACAGGATTCATTATTTTAAGATTGAGATTAATATTTCTGTTTATGGTCAAAGGGGGTGAGTGAGTGTAAGTGTGAACCCCAAAGGTGGTTTTCGTGTATTTAGTTGATGGGTTATCAGGGGATTAAGATGTTTTCAAAAGGGTTTAGTTTTAAAGGGTAAAGAATGTGTCTGCAGTTCTGGGTTTCTCTGGTAGGGTTTTTCCAGTTTTTAGGGCCTTTGACATACTTTTGAATTTTTGAAAAAGTTTAGTCGGCCAGGGGGGAATGCCCATAGAGAGTTTGTGTTTGGGGGGTTTTGCCGGGGGTTTTTCTGTCAAACTATAAAGAAACTTTTTTAGGTCAAGGTTTTTTTGGAAATTTTAAGGGGCCCGGTAGATGTAGTTTGAAACAGTAGAATTTGTGGATTTTACGAAAAAGGGAGAAAGTTTAGATCTATAAGAGTGGGGGGGGGGTTTTTGCCAGGGTTGGGTTTTAGTGATTATTCAAAACTGCAGTTTTTTGGGTTGGGTTTATTTTTGGGCTTTAGGGTTTTTGCGGGCAGTTGATCCCCAAAAGCCCCAAATAGCATGGGTAGGTTTGGATAAAAAAAGGAGGAGGGTTATATGTGGGGAAGGGGGCTTTTTTGCGGCCGTATTATCGTATTTTTGGGAGGTCCCAACCTTTTTGGGAAATACTTTTTTGGTTATGGGGTTGGATATGGGGGGGCTAAAATTTCCCAAGGTTTTTTGGGTCAAGGTAAAAGGCCTGAAATTTGCCCTCTTTATGTCTGGAATTTTAGAGTTTTGGTCGTTTAAATGTTAATTTGTCCCATCTCCTGCCTGAAACCCAAAAACAAAATATAGGGGTTTTTGGGTAAAGGGGTTTAAGTGAAAGTTTTTTGGGCTGTAAAACCCAAGTCGATATTTTGCAGTTCCTCGTTAACAATGGTGTTGAGGGGGGCCAAGATTAGAGTTTGAGAAGGCATAAGTCATGTCTTTTTAAACCCAAAGTAATGGGTTTCAGGTTTTGGGATACTTTTGGGAAAATCATTGATGTAAGGGGAAAAGGGGGGGGAATGAAGGACACTTCCCTGCGGAACCCCAAAGTATCAAGTGGCCGTGTTGTTGTTTGCGTGTCTTTAAGGGTTGACATACAAATCCCTATTAGTAAGGTAAGATTTGAAAAAAAGAAAGGGCGCATGGCCTCT